ATTAGCAAATTTTGTGTTAATAAAGTAAAAACTATTTTGAAAAGATGTCTTTTTAAAAAGCTTTTATTTAACTCACTTCCTCTGTCGTCAGTAGTCAATCGTCAGCCCTCAGTCTGTCTAGATCGAAACGCCCGAGCGAAATTTCGGACACTTTGAACTGACAGATTTTTTTCAACGTTGGCCGTGGGTCAAAACATGAAAACAATGCAACATGACATTAAATTTGACTTAATTTGAAGCCTTATTAATTTTGTATGAATTAATTAAAATTTGTTTAAATTAGTAGTCTGTCTCATCAAACTATTTCGCACCATTAGACACGCGTCATCACGTTCAATAGGTGTGCATTGGTTTTTAATCATGCAACTCTATTGTAAATTAAAATATGTAAAGTACAAACATTTTTTTTCATAAAAAACGTTTTTAGTAACAAGCTTTTATGTAATAATGCACTAAATAATAGAGATATAAATTATACACCACTACTTAAAAAAAAAATTCATAAAAAACATTTTAACAACAAGCTTTTATTTAATAATGCACTAAAAAGTAGAAAATAAATTATACACTACTATTTAAATAACTATAAAGAAAATCGCGGGTCTCTTCCTAAACATTAGTAAAGGTATCCAATAGATACTAAAGTGACCCATGCTTTTCTTTATAGTTATTTAAATAGTAGTGTATAATTTTTTTTCTACTTTTTATTGCATTATTACATAAAAGCTTGTTATTAAAACTTTTTTTTATGAGATTGTTTTGTTTCTCTTGAATCTCAACACAGAAACATTTTTCAAAACTTGAATCTATTTCATGTGAAAATTAGGCGTACAATGTAAGTATGAAAAATTGCATCATGCTTTGTGAATAGACCAATACAATTTTAAATTGGGAACCTCTTTGATTTACAATGCATTTGAATTATATTGGCGGTTCATTTGGCAAATAAAGTAGAGTTTTTCTGTCTCTGTTTCCTCGGCATTTAAACGAGACGTATGTGGTCAATATTATGCCCAGCTGCCTTTGCTTTCACTATCGTATACAATTATTTTATTGTGCTATAAATAGTAAGCCACTGTTGTTAATTTGTCACTTTGGGGAATTTATTATTTTCTAATGGGCAAATGAAAAAAAACATGTATATACCGAAAATTACAAACATTAACTTTCTTAATTATTTTCAGGGTTAAGTTTTTATTTTGTATTACGGCCGCTTTAATCACAAAATAATATTTAAAAAATAAGATTAAATCAAAGTCGACAATAATGATCGAACTCCTCGGGCAGATGAGGCTCGTTAGCTGGAGACAGTCGCTCTTCTAGGAGAGACAACTCCCAAATAAAACTATTGCTGCCTTGTAGTTTGTTCTTGGTTGGACAAAGGCTATGGAAGCAAACCAAAAAAGAAAAGCAGGCTGAAATCGGAGTCAATGGCCTCAATGGCGCATAACCAGTTGACACCTTTCCTTAATTGTGATGGAGGCGTGGTCGAGTCGGCAAAAGCTTATGGTTGATAAATTCAAACCTTCGCAGATAAGGCTCGATACCTTCCAACACTAAAAATTAAGAACGAAGAAGAAGAAGCTCGTCAACCTCGATTGTCTACAGTTACAGAAACGTTACGGGAAGATAAAAGAAAGTGATGAATGTTGGGATTCCCATGACTCTAGTGTCATGAATAGTTCTAATTATAAAAAAAATTGTAAAAAAAGTTGATAAGAAATTTTAAACCCATGTTTCTGTTCATGAATAAAAAATTCATTTGATTTTTTTTTTGTAGTGAGAAGTTAGTTTCTCTCCATCATGATGTCAATAAAATTATTTCTTGGTTTTTGCTGTTTGACCTTCACCTTGGCTTTGATCAACCTCAAACCTTACGACCAGACGGCGTCTGTGATGTTCAACATGGTCGACCACGACCAAGATGGCGACGTGAATAGAAACGAGTTGGATCAAGCATTCAAGGTTAGAATACACGCAAAAAACATCAGCACATAGGCGGTAGTTTACGTTTAGACTTAAATAAACAGACAATAAATAAATCACATGCAGCAATGTTTATTTATACGCTTATATTTAAAAATCATCTACTATATTGAAAGAGTAAATCGTAAGCACAACTTATACTAAGTTGGAGGGTAGAGCATACGACGTATAACCCGAAAATTTCGAGTTCGAATCCGGGGTTTTTAGACCGTTGAACAGAGTCTACCTAACTCAGGTTAAGGAAAGTAATTTCGGCTTCAAATTACCGAGGTTACTAAAAAGGATGAACTCTTCTTCACCTACCCCCTAGATCTTCATGTTTGAAAGGATTACTTTTTTTTCTACCTCATATACCTCGATGCTTGTGGCAAGAAAAATCCTCTTCCTTATATGATCAACAAGACGGCACTTTCATCTTGTTTTAACATATAACGGTACTTTCTTCTTGTTTTATGCACTGTCTGCCAACTCAAAAACTCAAATGTATAACATCCTCGATCTCATTGAATCTCTCTTAACATCTTTAAGTTCACCCCATCCCACTTAAACCATCCATTCACTATCTCCAGTTTCTTACACTTTCTAAAAGCTTTTAAAGCGATTTAGATTTTATTCAACCATCCTATCAACTTTCAGAACTTTATTTCCACCCCATCCTCCTTATCAAGCCATCCCCAACTTATATTCAACAAATGATCCTATATGTTCTACCTAATATACAACTCCACTCCCTATATGTTTTATAATCTACCCAGGCGTACGACACCAATGGCAACGGTCGTATATCGAAACAAGAATACGTCAGCTACGTCGAGCAGATCATCCACGACACGTCCTACCGTCACCTGATGTTAGCCACCTTCGACATCATCGACGTTGACAACGACCACATCCTGGACCATCACGACTTTGACAATTTTTTCTCTCTAATGGACAGCGACAGCAACAACTTGGTCAGCTTGGCCGAATACGTAAGGTCAGTATTGGGGGCTTGTCCGAATATGTCAAGTCAGTATTGGGGGCTTGTCTGAATATCTAAGGTAAGTATGAGGGGCTTGTTTGAATACGTCATGTCAGAATTGGAGGCTTGTCCGAATTCGTCTGATCAGTATTGGGGGGCTTGTCTGAATATGTCAGGTAAGTATTGGAAGGGTGAGTCAACTTGTCATCCGTATTTTAAAACTATAAATCATGTTGTAATTTACAATACGAAAGCCAGGTTTTTCAAACCCAAAGTATGTTATTTTTAAACCTGAGTGTCTATTAAGAATGATGGAGTAGATTTCGTCTATTTGTGTTTTACTAAATTAAGTGATCAGGGCTGTTAGTCAACCTTAGGTTTCTTGAAAACAAACAACGCAAAACATATGAAGGCCTAAGACGGGAATAGAACAAAGCAATAAATAGAATAATCACAAAGTATGGAGGTGTGGAGTAAGGGACTAAAACTATTTAAATCATTTTAAAGGGTGCCACCAAACTGAAAAGTGCTCATCTAATAACAGTGATAATTTATTGGTTATCCATTTGTATTAATACTTGTTTTTGTTAAAAAATATATATTTGAACATTTTTTGAGACCAACATGCTTTTGTTTTTATCGATGTAGTTACTAGTGCATCAGAGACAAAAATCTGCCTCATGTTTCATAAATTAACTCACTACACATTACTAATATACCGAAGTTAAAGCATGAAGTATTAATGCTTTACTTTTTACTTGCAGGTACTGGTCAGCTTTATTTCCAGACCTAGAGAACCTGGGCAAAAACTGACGGAAATAACATATAACATTTATCACATATAACATGTGATAGAAATTTCATAAACTTTTCAATTTTTCATTAGTAGGCATATATTGATCTAATAATGCAAAAGTATACTTATAACTAAATGTTGGTACCTCTCATAGTTATATAATATGATGGTGTGATAGAAATAAAAACATAAGCCTATTACTTAAAATCATGTTTGTTAAATTGCCTGTTGTTCTTATTCTAAGATGGTTTTTATGTCTGACTATAACTAAAGCATAAAGCCAGAATAAAAATCAATAAAACAAATATTTAAAGAAAAACAATGTAAGATCATCTTTAAAACCTTTAATAAAGCATCATTAAAATATTATTAAATCGGATGAACTTCATTTGATGTAAAAAGTATTTGTCATGACGAACAAATCGATGCTTGTGGCAAGAAAGATCCTCTTCCTTAGAGATTAACAAGGCGGCACTTTCATCTTGTTTTAACATATGACGGTACTTTCTTCTTGTTTTACGCACTGTCTGCCAACTCAAAAACTATTGCTACGTAGCTGCAAGAAGGATGTAAATAAAAAATAAGCTAATAAATCAACGTATTAAATAGTATGATATAGAAATGTTTAGAAATGTAATGCAATGTTGAAAATCCAAAAAAAAAAATAAATTATTTGCTGAAAAAAATGAAGAAGTTGACGAGTTGAAGTCATAACGATTCCATAATATATTTGACTTTAAAGTTGTAAGATGACAACTTCACGCATCTCTGGGTTTTAAAAAAAATTAAATTGTGTGGACAAAAGCAGAACTATTTCGTTGACCGATTATTTCTCACTCTAAAGGAATTTCACACGATTTATAACTTAAATATAATCCAGTTTAAGATGGTTTTTGTTTATAAAGACAATATTTACACCACTAAATACTTTGTTTATCTATATATATAATTCTCTTCTTCGAGCCGTTAGAAAACAAGCTGCAAACGCTCTCCCTACCTCCCCACCCCTACATGGTTTTAGTGAGCTGTGTTCACTCTAAATGTTTACAAGCAGAGCCAACGATTTTAAACGTAGGGGGGGGGGGAGGAGGGGGGAGGGAAGGAAGTAAACTTACAGGGGGTAACTAAGAGGAGGCTGCTTTCACGGGGGGGGGGGGGAGGGGTGTAGGGTCGGGGTTAGGGGAAAGGAGGGGGGTTAGTGTTTTAAAGCAAATATTTTCAGTGGCAGCGTTGGTACTGTCGAATTCACAAATTATGAATTACTGAAAAGTAGAAAATAAATCAACTAAATAGCGGCGTATTATACGCCGCGGGTCGGCTCGTTGTAAATATTTTAAAACGACTCAAATATTCTGACGTCATAAACTTAATGGACGAATTCGTTCTTCTCCAACAAATTATCACCATTGCCATCAGCCAAGGAGAAAAATAGTTCATAATCAACATGGTCGATATGATGGTCCTTATTGACGTCATAGGCCTGGAACAGCGCGTGCAGGACATGGTTGGTGTGGGCGTCATGGTTACCAGAGCTCAGATAGATGCCGTACTCGTGGAAGTCGATCCGACCGTCGCCGTTACTGTCCAGATGCTGGGAGTAGGAGACGAAATGGTAGTAAAATACAAAGAAAGATTACTTTTTATGAAAACATCCGTAGAAGAACGCAGCATCGGCTCCCAACTTTTAGCCCCCACATCCTCGGCGGGTATTGATTTTACTTCAAGAGTTTAAGTAGGGACAGGATTAGGAGTTGTGATTGGGTAAATTGTTACGCTTAGGGTAAAAAGTAAACCTAATTTCTGACAGATACATTTTCTACAGAACATACGTTGAAAACAGGGTTCATCAAATTTATGTCGAACTTATATTTTAATAAAAATTACTTTAATTATTGTGTCTATGTTATAAAAGTTTAATAAAAAGAAAAGGTCCATCTAATTTCGGGTAAACTTATATTTCAAAAGTTTACCTTTACGATTGTGTCTATATTTTAAAAGATTACCTTAAAGATTGTGTCCATCTCATTTTTGTCAATGACACCATCATGGTTTAGATCTGAGATGTTAAATGCAACGGTTGCTGTCTCATTGTATGGCTTCAGGTTGAGGGTTTGTGCGTAGGTCAAGGCCGGAAGACAGACGAGAAGTGCGTACAGAACAGACATGGTTGTGTTTGTAAAGAATTCCTGTGTAAATATATAAAGTTAAAAATAAAAATGTATTTTACTATCAGCGAAATAAAAAACGCATTTGAATTTTCATAACCTTTGCTTTTATATGTGTTAAAAATAACATGAATTGTAAAGAGATAACCATACACTTAGAAAACAAAGAAAACCTAAGCCAAAGATATTAAAAATGAAATGCTAACAAATAATTCAAACACTACTTCGTGACAGCTCTAGAGATATGATGACCTGTATGAGAGTTCGGGTTTCGTTTTATTGTGAACACTGTATTCGCTTTTTTGTACGTTGTCCTGAGAAAAATAGCATGTGACGAAATAGTGTAAGATTGAAGTGCATCTAGTACAAAGACTCTTTGTATCCATTTTTTTTTCCTTTTCTAACATTAGAAAAACCTTTTATAATGGTTTTGAATTTAAAACTGGTTGTTTATTTTCTTTTTTGTTCTTAATTTGAAGGGATTTCCACTAACATAATTAAATATTACTTTTAAAATATTACGTATCTACAATTTACCTTCGGTCTGTCTTAGTTGTTTGAGTATCTGCCTGGGGTCTTAACTCCAGACTTTTGGGTCAACGGGCACATGTTATTCTTCCCAACCATGCCTCCCTGAAAAATGTTTTGGACTTTCAAAGAGATTGATAAGCTAGCAAAAAAGAAGACAGGATGTCCATTCCTTTAAAATTTTAGAACCATTGATGATGATTGTTGTTTCTTAACTTCGTATAAACTAGAAAAGTTTAAGTGTAACTTTGATCATTTTTATCGGAACATTTTTTTATTGAGGTCAGAGAATGAGTCTGCATCATTATATATTCGTGTATTCCACATGTTGAACTCAAAAAGTTCAATTAAAAGTGTAACTTTACTCATCTGTAATTTATTTATTTATTCAATTTATTTCAATCAATGTATTCAATAATACATCCAGTTTCTTTTCTGCTGTACAAATAATTAAAAGTTCCCAAAGAAAAAGTCCCCAGTCCTGTCTTACTGTTGAGGCAGTGGCATTCAGTGTGTGTGTGGGGGGGGGGGGGTGTCGTACAGGGCTCATCCATAATAATAACAGTGCAGGCGTTACCGCATTGCCGTGTAAGCCATTGAGATAATTAGCCTACAAATAAACTTGAACTTTTGACTCTGTGATGCATGTAAATTTACATGCATCGCTACAAACCTCATCTGACTGGGAAATTCTCTACCCCACCCCTACAAACCTCCTCCTCCTCCCTCCCAACTGTTTGCACTCTCGAAACTCCATCCATCCATGATTACAATTATGCCATATTTTAATAACAGCCGTGGACTGTGGACTGTTTTCACAACAAGCTGATTATAACATTTGTCAATGTTTTCTGCTAGTTTTAATTAACCTTAATCACAATTTGTTTGTTGATCTAATTTATCTCTAATCAATATGTCGCTACTGAAAGATTTTTGTTTGTCTATCTGCCTGTCCTACATTAATTAATACACAAATCATCCACATCGCCATGAAACATTGGAAGTCGTTTATACTTCAGACAAATATTAGCTGTTCTTTCGTGAAATTTACTACCCCACCCCACATATGAGAAGCTGTGCCCCTCGACAAGAAACAAGAAAGAAACGCGGACTCCTGTAAAGTTTTCTGCTTTTTAAAAAAATTCGTTTGGAGGGCGACGCCCCGGCAATAAGACTTTTCGGTTTGCCACCCTGAGTTTCCCAACAGCTTTCCTAGTACCTGGGGTCAGCATATTGTGCATCCTGCACAACGGGTCAGGGTTACTGCTAGATTCAACGGTCAAACTGAATAGGGGCCCCGGGAACCCCCTTGAGCACTACGGCACGTATACTTGTTTTAATGAGCACCATGCCGTAGGGATACGGAGGGCTACTATAATCAATGGTTAAATAAAATAAGCGATGTCCTCCAGCGCCTAAGCATTAGTATATGTTTGGGCGCCCCGAGTCTCTCCATTATGATGATGTTATGAAACATATTGTAGATATGCTTTTTGTGTCAGTATCTTGGCCATCCTAAGTATCGAAGATTCAGAAGATTCAGATTCAGTGGACCTCACTTAACATATTAATCATTTCGCAAACTTAAAAGAAAGAAAACAACAATTCTAATTAAATCAGGAACAATTTTTAAATAGCTCCTGATTTATTAGCGGCGTCATTAGGACCGGTATCACCGGTATCACGCATTAAGTGAGCGTCACCCCCCCCCCCCCCCCCCCCCACTCCAACAATTTCGCATTTCTGGTGTAGTGTCACCCCTTCTCCCAAATATTTTATTATTTTTAACAAAATAAAGCAAAGTTTTCACAGTAAATTGTACGTGTTTTCGTCATGATGTCACGCCTAAATTTTGTCAACTTCGCCCCACCTTGTGATGCTACTGTGTTTGGTTACTTAAATGTTACATGCTTACAGTTAATTAATTGGTTTGTTTTTGCATAAAAGTGATATAAATTAAATTTTTCGTTACGTGGTACTACTTATGATAGCGTATAAATACAAAATTAGGATGTATAAAATACACTATTTACAGATTGACGAAAGGGATCAATAATTAAAATTTTTGAATAGGGACCCTAAATCCTAGCTACGCCACTGCATGAACCTAATGTTTGCAACCTCTGGTATTTATTTCACTTAGCAAAATAGACACATGAACCTAGTTTATCCTAGCTTCGCCACTGCAACCTCTGGTATTTATTTCACTTAGCAAAATAGACACATGAACCTAGTTTATCCTAGCTTCGCCACTGCAACCTCTTGTATTTATTTCGCTGAGCAAAATAGACACATGAACCTAGTTTATCCTAGCTTCGCCACTGCATGAACCTAGTGTTTGCAACCTCTGGTATTTATTTCAAACATGAACGGATATAACATGAAACTTATATCACATAGCACTTGTGATTGAATTTTTATAATCAATTCAACTTTTTTTTGCTAGTATATAGATGTAATAATGTAAACCTGATTCTAAATCAATTAAATTTTTTGTTCCGCTATTTTTATAAGAAGGTGATGCGATAGAAATAAAAACATTAGCTGCCTAAAACTAAAGCACAAAGCTTGAACAAAAATTAATAAAACAAATATTTAAATATAAACAATGTAAGATCAAATTCAATTTATTTGATAAAATATTAAATAAGAAGAATGTCATCTGATGGAAAAGTATTTGCCATGGCGAACAAATCGATGCTTGTGGCAAGAAAGATCCTCTTCCTTATATGATCAACAAGGCGGCACTTTCATCTTGTTTTAACATATGACGTAAATTTCTTCTTGTTTTACGCACTGTCTGCCGTCTCAAAAACTATTGCAACGTAGCTGTACAAAGGATGTAAAAAAATACGCTAGTTAAACAACGTATTAAATAGTATGACATGGAAATGTATAGAAATATTTTGTAATGTTGAATAACGAAAAAAAAAGATATTTGCTGAAAAATAACAATACACAACTAAAACTCATCTGAAGTAAAGGAACAAGTGGTTATGATAGTGATTGGTTAATTTGCTGTAAAGAAGTGAAAAACAGTTGTATTTTTAGTGGGTGGGGAGGGGGGGGCAAGATTCTATAATTAGATTTTCTCTTGCAGTCGTAAATGTTGACTGGTGTAATTTGGGAGAAAGGGTATGAATAAATTATCAATAACCTTTGTAGAACCTCGAAAAAGCTAATTGTATTATTTTTTAAAACTAGAACAGTCATGCTGTTACATCTCTTTGTTTTATTTTTTTAATTTTTGAAGGAACAATCGCGGGGTCGAATTAAGATGCAATATGTTTATGAGGCGGTCGGGCTTGGGAGATTTAATCTTTGACTTTAAAAGCTTCACCAATCTGAAATTTGTTGAGGTTGTTTTAAACTGTGTGGATAGAAGCAGAACTTTTCGTGTTCCAATTATTTCACTGCCTAAACGAGGTTTAAATTTGCAACTTAAATATAATCAGATTTCAATTTTTTTTTAAATAAAAATTCTCGCCATTAAAAATTGTATTATTTTTAATGATTTAAATCGACGAAATCTATTTTGAACGTCGTGAACTTACTGGACGAATTCGTTTTTCTCCAACAAATTATCGCCGTTACTGTCAGCCAGTGAGAAGAACAGGTCATAATCAACATGGTCGACGTGATGATCGTTGTTGACGTCATAGGCCTGAAACAGCGCGTGAAGGACATGGCTGGTGTGAGCGTCATGGTTACCAGAGCCAAGGTAGATACTGTATTCGTGGAAAGCGATGCGACCGTCGCCGTTACTGTCTAAGTTCTGGGAGTAAGAAACAGGGTGTAATTAGAATAAGAACAAGTTGGTCAGTTCTTATAAAACATCAACACAATATCGTCTTTTTCGTCCAGTGGGTGTCGCTGTTTCATCAGAATTTAGTTATAGTCTGTACTTTCGATTTTCTATTGGGTAAATTATTAGGCTCGGGGCTAGGGTTGACGTCCATCTCATTTTCTGAAAGAAACATTTTCTACAGAACATAAGTTAACGACAATGTCCGTTTTTAAAAGTTCACTTTTAAAAATAGTGGTCATATCACTGCCGTTGAACTTATATTTTAAAAGATTACCTTAAAGATTGTGTCCATTTCATTTCTATCAAAAACACCATCATGGTTGAGGTCCGAAAAGGAAAATGCTATTGCGGCTGTATCATTGTAAGGCTTCAGGTTGAATGACTGTGCGTAGGTCAAGGCCGGAAGACAGACGAGAAGTGCGTACAGAACAGACATGGTTGTGTTTGTAAATAATTCCTGTGTAAGTATATAAAATTAAAAATAAAAATTTATTTATTATAAGTGAAAGGAAATTGCATTTGGATTTTCATAACCTGTGCTTTTATATGTGTTCAAAAATAACATCAATTATAAAGAGGTAACTACATTTAGAAAATTATCAAACCCTAAGCCAAATATATAAAAACAAAATGGTAAAAAAATATTCTAACCCTACTTTGTGAGTTCTCTAGAGATATGATGACCTGTATGAGATTTAGGTTTGGTTTTATTGTGATCGCTTTTTTTTTCGCTACTTCATACAGAGCCAACTTGTACGTTGTCTTGAGAAAAATCGCATGTGACAAAATAATGTAAGATTGAAGTGCATCTAGTGCAAGGAATCTCATCCAATTTTTTTTTTGGACATAAGAAAAACTTTGTATAATGGTTTTGAATTTACAAATGGTTCATTATTCTTTATGGTTTTTAATTTGAAGGGATTTCCTCCATCATATTTAAATATTACTTTTATATTATTACGTATTTACATGTTACGCTCGATCTCTTAGCTGTTTGTATATCTGCCTATGGATCCAAACTCAAGACTTTTGGGTTAGCGGCCATATGTTCTTCCTCCCGACCATTCCTCTCTTAAACATGTTTGGGACAACAAAGAGATTATTAAAAAGAAAATAGGATGTCCATTCCTTTAACATTTTAGAACCATTGATGTTGATTGTAAAGTTTCTTAACGTCGCATAAACTAGAAAATTTTAAGTGTAACTTTTGTCTTTTTTATCGATTTTTTGTGTATTGTGGTCAGAGAATGAGTCTGCATCATTTTATATTCGCTTATGTGACACTTGTTGAACTCATGTGGGACTGAGTAGCATAGAGTTCGCGGGCTAGACTGCTCGAGTTCCAATCAGTTTCAAGTCAGCAGAACGTCCTTGAGTCCAAGATCGGAAGGGGAACTAACTACCTAGCTTCCGTTAGAGTTAGATCTGACCACACTCTCCTCATATTATGATGTCACAGAAATACAGTGTTTCTTCCAGACTTTTTTCTCCGGGGGGGGGGGGGGGGCACTTGAAATTTTCGGGGGGGGGGGGGCGGTAAACTTTCTTCTGGGGGGCGGGGGTGGGGGGCGACACTGTTAGAAGTATATATTTTCTATTTAAATTATATAAGAGAACTTTACTATATTCGACACACATAAGAATATTTTTTTTTTCACTCTGCTAGATATTATTTTCTAGCTCATTTTAAACTTCACAAGTTCACATCTATATGCAATGTAGCAAAAACAAAATAGTGAAGGCTTATGATAGAGTAATTTAAAACGGTTTCTATGTCGGTATGTATAAAAAAATTAAAAACCTACTTCTTCCTCGACCATCTACCGGCTATTCAATGTAGTAAAGGAACTTTTGGGTCAGAAGTGGAGCGCTGTATCGCTCTGTAGATTCGGTCGAACCTGACGGTCCATGAGGCAAGTGAAGTTGAGTTGACCTGTTTATATGACCTCGTTATATGAAAGGATAGTGTGGTGAGGACTATGCCCACCCGCCTTTACTTTCCCTAACGTGAGTTAGGTACACATCAGAGCTGGGTGAACTCAGAGACGCAGATTTGAACTCTAGCCTTTCGGGTTAACAGTCCGGCGCTCTACCACTAGTCCACGTAGTCCCTGTTTGACGTAAGAATGAATAATAAACTTAGAGGATTTTCCTTTCGCCTTAAAGCTCTGCGGCAGCTGATGGGATGGGGGTTTAACGAGTCGGTTTTCCCCAAATGTAAAAATGTCACTTTGTAATGGTTGGTTTTGTAAAAAGAACGTCACAGGTTAGAACACAGGAATAACTGACATACATTTTCTATCTGATAGGCTGTGTGAGAGGTTTGAGCTGTTCGATTCAATACCATATGCAAATACCACTACCATATTATTATGAAGATATTGCAACCGTGGGCAATCATTATATAATTCACCATCTAGACGCAGCAGGTGACGATTAAGCAACAAGATGAATAAAGGTTTCCTCATTATGTTTATTCTGGTACTGGAATCATGTGCACCCTTTCACGAAGACGAAAAAGATCAGACTAACTCACACACAATGCACAGGAACCAATCTCTACACAAAACCGCCACTTATCACACTATACTCGTCAAATCATCCATTCGTTCAACATACATGCGCATAAATATTCACTCGCACCAACCTATATTGAGGACAAACATCATAACACTTTCTACTCTGCAAAGCTATACATAGTTCAACGGTTTCCTAATTTTTTGTCACTTCCATAAAAGAAAAAAAATACTGTCACCTATCCTTCTCCCAACCAATCTAATATAAAGTAAATTAATGAATCATCTTTAAACCTAGCCATCCATTCGCCAGATGAAGTAGAGTTCAATCCCAACCTCATTTACTTTCCGCAACATAAGTCAGGTGTTTATCAGACTTGAATGAACTCAGGGAAGCTATACCTTTCGAATCCCTTAGATTATATACTATACGTCTCTCTAAACGATTATCTATCTATATATCTATATATCTATATATATATATATATATATATATATATATATATATATATATATATATATATATATATATATATATATATATATCTATATATCTATATCTATATATATATATATATATATACATATATATATATATATATATATATATATATATATATATATATATATATATATATATATATATATATATATATATAAAATTCTCTTATTGGAGACGATAGAAAACACCAAGCTGTAAGCGTGCTCCCTACCACCTCCACCCTTACATGGTCTGGTGAGCTGTGGTTCACGCTAAATGTTTACAATCGTAGAACCGGGTTTAGTGACGACTATTAGGGGCAGTTAATTTAGTTTGAAACGATTTTAAACTTAGGGGAGGTAACTAAGAGGAGTTTACTTTCACGGTATGATACGCCGCGGGTCGGCTCGTATTTAATAATATAACTACAGCCCCTATGTGTCGAGACTTCGATGGGGATAGTGGTCCGTTTTCAATGCAACAAGGTCCGGCACTGGAATTTCTCTATAAAAGCAAACGTTTCAAACTGTAAATCCAGAGGGGAAAATTATCTTAAGATATAATTATAACTTATCAATATTCTTTCAGTTTTATTTCTATAGATTGCACAATGCTGTAAAACTTGTCGTGACACCTGTATTTTCAATCCGCCACATAGACACATTAACGGATTTATCATGCTACTTACATCACACAGAACATGTGAAAGAATTTTCATAACCTCTTCACGTTGTTCTTAGTATATAGATCTAATCATGTAAAACAGTTACCATATCAATTAAAATGTTGGTTCCGCTCTTAGTTGTTTTAATACGATGTTGTGATATTAATAAAAATATAAGCCGACATCCTGTGTTTGTTTGTCTATTTTTCTTCTTCTTAGATGGTTTAAATGCCTGACTAAAACAAAAGCACAAAGCAAGACCAGAAATTAATAAAACAAATTTTATTTAATTATAAACAATGTAAGATCAACTTTAAATTCTTTAATAAAACATCATAAAAATATTATTAAATAAGATGAACGTCATCTGGTGTAAAAAGTATATGCTTTGACGAACAACCCGATTCTTGTGGCAAGAAATATCCCCTTCCTTATATGATCAGCAAGGCGGCACTTTCTATTTGCTTAAACTTTTACGCACTGTCTGCCGTCTCAAAAACTATTGCTACGTAGCTGTACAAAGGATGTAAACAAAAATACTCTTATAAAACAACATATTAAATAGTATAACATAGAAATGTATAGAAATGAATTTTAATGTTAAGTATACGAAAAAATAGGTATTTGCTGAAAATACACAACTAAAATTTATCTGAAGTAAAGGAGCAAACGGATTTCATATTGATTCATTGATGAGTTGTAAGGCACTGAAAAACGGTTTTAATTTGGGGGAAAAGGTCAACAACCTTTGTAGATCCTCGAAAAAGCTGATTATTGTAACACTAGAAAAGTCAAAAGACATTATTTCTTTGTTTTATTGTAAAAATATATGATTTATGATCTCGGGATCGAATTAATACGTATCTGAAATGTGTTAAATTTGTTTTAACTGTGTGGACAGAAGCCTATTTTTTGTTGCTCTAACCATTTCACCGCATAAACGAGGTTTAAATTTGCAACTTACATATAATCAGGTTACGATGTTGTTGTTTTTATAAATATCCTCGCCATTAAATACTGCATTATTTTTAAAAATGTTTTAAATTCGACTAAAATTTTGGGAAGTCACCAACTTACTGGACGAATTCGTTCTTCTCCACCAAATTATCCCCGTTACTGTCAGACAGGGAGAAAAACAGGTCATAATCAACATGGTCGACGTGATGGTCCTTATTGACGTCATAGGCCTGGAAAAGCGCGTGCAGGACATGGCTGGTGTGGGCGTCATGGTTACCAGAGCTCAGATAGATGCCGTACTCGTGAAAGTCGATCCGACCGTCGCCGTTACTGTCCAGGTGCTGGGAGTTACGGACGAACAGATAGTAACAAACAAAGAAAGATAGTGTTTACTTCTTAATCAATACCATTAGAAGAACAAGTATAAGCTCCCGACCTTCAACTTCCCCATCCTAAGTGGATATTGCTTTTACATCTGGATTTTTGTTAGGGTCCGGATTAGGTGTTGTTCTTGGGAAAATTATTAAGTTGAGGGTAAAAGTAAACCTAATTTCTACCAGAAACATTTTCTTCAGAACTTTCGTGGAAGATGGTGTTCTTCTAAATTCTGTTGAATTTACGTTTTAAAAGACTACTTTAATGATATGTCCATACTTTAAAAGCTTACCTTAAAGATTGTGTCCAGTTCATTTCGGTCAAAGACACCATCATGGTTGAGATCTGAGATGGTAAATGCAACGGTTGCTGTCTCATTGTAAGGCTTCAAGTTGAGGGTTTGTGCGTAGGTCAAGGCCGGAAGACAGACGAAAAGTGCGTACAGAACAGACATGGTTGTGTTTGTAAATAATTCCTGTGGAAATAGATAAAATTAAAATGTGTTTATTTTCAGTTAAAGAAAAAAAGAATTGATTTATATGCCCTGTGCTTTTTCTATGCGTTCAAAATTAACCATTTAAAGATATTAGTACCGTACAAGAAAATTAACAAAACCGAGGCCAACATAAATTTAAAAATGTATAAAAAAATATTTCAAACCCTACTTCGTGACTGCACTATAGATACGATGACCCGTTTGAGTTGAAAGTTGAAAGAGCATTTTTTCCCGCTACTTTATAAAGGCCATCGTGTCAGCTGTCTTGAGAAAATAGCATGTGACTAAAAAATAAAAAAAATTGAAGTGCATCTAGTACAAGGATTCTCAAGTTTTTATGGTTAGACCACTACAGTTAGATTTTAAAAGTTTTTTTTTTTTTTTTTTTTTTTTTTACATTATAAATTATTATTAAAATAAGTGTGTGAAATTAAAGTTGGATTTTCTTCGTTCTTACTTTTAGTATTGGAGATGATCTCCTCCATCCAAATTAGGTATCACGTTTCAACATGTAATATGCCATATAGCCTGTTGCATTTGGGTGAGCCTTTTGCAGCGATGTTCCACCCAGCACCACTTCCTACTTCTTGTCTGCAGTGTCATAGGCCCCTGCCTTCTTCCGATAACTACGTCCCAGTAACTAGTTTTAGACTCAACAAAGAGATATATAAGCTTTCCCAAAAGAAAAAGCCCATTCTATTAGAAATTGAGAATCTTTGATGTTGATTGTTAATCTTAATCGTATAAACTAGAAAATTGTTTGTGTAACATTACTCATATTTATCTCGCTATATTGTTTTTAAATCAGGGCTTTTAGATGTGAATATGTGGAATTTAAAAAAGGGCTAGCAAATATAATCTTGCAAAGTGAAATAATTAGTATTGCTAGATTTTATTTACCAGTTCTTTTTAAATTTCACGTCTTAACATTAAATTACACTGCTATAAACACAATATAGCTAGATAGCAAGGACAAGATAGTGAAGGCTTTTGAACGGGTAATTTAAAACAACGGTCGCTCTGTCGGTTTATAAAAAAAATCTTTAAAAATATAGTTTTTTTTTAATCCGTGTCAATAGTAATTATCGAACCCAACTAGACCGCCGCCATTGTGTCAATGAAATTTAGATCAACCCTTATGTTCGTAATTGTATCCATCAATTTAGATCTAGTCATGTTCGCAAGTGTATTCATCAATTCGATTAGACATGTTCGCAATTTAATCTTTCAATTTTTATCTAGCCATGTTTGTAATTGAATCCATGAATTTAGATCTAGTCATGTTCGTAATTGTATCCATCGATTTAGATCATGTTAGCAATTGTATTCATCTAGTCAACACGTGGTTTTGTTCATTATTAATTACAGAATAGTTTTTTCTTCTAGTTGATGCATGTTTAACAAGTTCTCTTAATTAGTAAAATCTAAATAACGTACATATTGATTGGTATAATACGTTTAAATATAAAATTGGTATGATAGGTTTAAATTTTTTCATACTTCGTTGTCTTAGTGATACTATTCATTTTTTCGAAATTCGACACATAATATAAGAAGAAAAAATGTGTACTCTTCTGATAATAAAAATATTGATTTTTTTATTTTATTTTTAAAGGCTTTTATTTCACTTACTAAGTGTGTGGAGGGGGGGGGGGTGTTCTCAAATCTTGGAATCTTAATTCAACCCAGGCTTTTATTCTTAGTCATATTTCTTTAGTAAGGTGACACCAAAGTAAAAAAAAAACATTTTTTTTATGCATTTTTTAATTAGACTTTTTTTTGTGATTTGAGAAAATAATAACACCCCTTTCCTAAAAAAGGTGAGATTTATTTCTCTTAACAAAGTCATAGTTGACACAATAATAAGTGTGCTTTTCCTGAAACAGTTACTCATTGACTATTATATTTATATATAATATTATATTGGGAAAATTTCATAGAGACAGAAAGTACAAAAGCGAAATCAAGACAAATCAGTTGTTAACTTTTATTGCCTTTATCAATATAACTAAGGTTTGCGAATATCTTAAAGCGTAAGGGTCGTGTTAATTCACTAGTGCCGCACTGATCCAACTAAACTTGTTTGAAGAACCTTTTTATACGCTCTCCGCAGTCTCGAATATAATAGCCACATAGCTAAGCAGGAAAATAAAAATAAAAATCCATCAAATTAGCTTTGAACAAACGACGATGTATTCATTTATATAATAAAGAGAATGTTCAATATTTAAATAAATAAAAAATGCTGACATAGCAAAAGCAAAATAAAATGTGAGGGGTTTAGTGCAGAATTGACGTTACATAAGTAGAAGGAAAACAATTCAAACATTTGTGAACGTTTCCACACACACACACACACACACACACACACACACACACACACACATATATATATATATATATATATATATATATATATATATATATATATATAAGAAGTTTGTATAAATATTGATAAGTTGTAAGTTAACCGTATAGATATCGCGGCGGGTGAACTTCTACTTCTTTATTAACCTTGGTAGATGCAGCGTATATTGGACTACTAGAGCTTGATTTATTTCCATTATTTGTGTTTTTTTAAAAAGTAGTTGGCTTTACGTAGTTGGCATAATGAGCTTACTGGACAAACTCTGTTTTTTGCAAGACGTTGTCGTTATTGGAATCAGCTAATGAGAAGAGCAAGTCGTAGTCATGGTGGTCGAGTTGGTGGTTGTTGTCGGCGTCGTACACTTCGAAGAGGGCGTGGATGAGGTGGTTGGTGTGAGGGTCATGGTTAAGGCCTTGGATTTGGCTGCTGTACTCGTGGAAGGTGATGGTGCCGTCATGGTTGATGTCAGCAGCCTACCTCAACAACAGAAAATAGTTATACACATTTAAAAAGAGGAAGTGAAAATTGGTACATCGTTATTTACCGTGAGGTCCAAAAAAAAAGATATATTTTACTAAAGCACACCGTGTAATATGAGTTATAAGAACAACGCGAGGAAAGTTAATACAAATAAAATTGCTCACATTTTACCATCACTTGGTAAATATATAAATTAAAACGATATCTTTATGCTACGATTATTGATTGTAATGTTAAGTTCAAAACAAAAAAAAAATGCAAATTAAAACGATAATTTAAGCTGCAATTATTATTAGTGGAGTTAATTTAAAGCAAAAAAATAAATAAATTAAAACAATAATTTTACAATAAATGTATCGATATTTTAAGGAAGACTGTGTGGATCATTGACATAAATCTTCACTAAAGGGTTAGGTTGGAAGAAAATTACCTAAAATACTAAGACGTTATATATGGACAACACAGAAGCTGATTCTAATTTTTAGGTAAGTAAAATTCTCTGAAAATGCTTATTGCTGAGACCTCCTACTATATCAATTTTTTTTAATTTTTTAACAATTACCTTAAAAGTTGCGTCTAATTCGTTTCTGTCGAAGACGCCATCATGGTTCAAATCAACATGACTAAATGCCGTGGCCGCTGATTCGTTGTAAGGTCGGAGGTCAAAAGACTGTGCGAATGTCAAGGCCGGCAGGCAGACCAGCAGAGCGTATAAGACGGACATGGTTTAATATTTCACAGGAGAGCTATAATAAAGACCATACGTATTTGTTAAAAATAAATAGCCTTCTGTATTAAAAATAATAAAAAAATTCATTTTGCAATCGTTATATTATTTTAAATATTTTATGATGGTTAAAATTTTGAGGAGATTTGAAGATTTTGTTACATTTTTATAATCACTGACTGCAAACATCACAAGCAAGCCAAACTCACATGCAACGTATTATTAGCACAATTACATTGGTAGAAAGTTGTTAAAAAATAATAAAAAATAAAAATTATTTAACATGTTTCAGGGTGTCCAATAAACAAATACGCCAATACTATGTTACTTGTAAACACAAATAAACAAAAAAATAGTAGTTCTGGTATCCTTGGTTGCCACAAAAAGATGTGAAAGTTAATACTTTTTTTAAACCAACGTACCTTTGCTCTCAAAATTATACCAATACATAAATATCTAATAGATTGCAATATTCAATAGCAACAGGGGAAATAACTATCAAGTATCGATCAGTTAGTCATAAGGGGAGTCTGTTCTAAACAAAGAGCTCAGAGGGATTGAAAATCGTACTCATATTTTTTTCAAAGCATAAGTAACGATGTCTTCTTATATCTTAAAAAATATCAAAACACTTCAAAATAGAGAATATTGGAAATATAATATCAAAAGTAAATTGATTTTTATTTTATTGATTTTATTGAACTTAAAATTTTGTTACTATAAAGTTTTCTAGTTGTCAAAAATTTGAAGTTAACAGCAACATACCGTGAGTTCAGACAGTATTGTTGAAATCTGATGCTATGAGTTCGAAGCAAAGTTACAGTTTTTATCTTTATTTACAGGCTATACTCGGGAATAAGTTGCCAGAGAATATGACAGATGTTTAGTTTTAAAAATTTAAAATTTATTATCCAAGGGATTGTTAATTCGTTTTTTTTAAAAAAAAAAGAAATATGTAACAATGTGTTCTAATTGTGATTTAAGTGTACTCATTTAACCTGCACTATCACACGTCTCACTTTCCACGAGTAAGTTTTATTCCATTTTATTTTAAATTTTTCACGTTAATTACTTTTTTGTTGACGGGACATTTTGTCGGTAATATCTCTTAAATAATTGTTATGAAAAATTAAATTTTCTTTGTTTGTTTTGAGCTAACTTATTTTGTTTTTAAGCATTTCTATTTTCGTATTAATGTCGGTTCCGTTGTTTTAAATATTAAAGTATGTTTTCATTCATATAATCGCAAAGTTCGTAGCACATTTTAAAACTTGTGTGTTGTTTTACATTATGCAGGAAGGAAAGAGTATATTTTGTTTTGGCTTATCTGAGGACAGATGCGTATCGAACGGATAATAAGGGTTGTCTAGTATATTGCAAAAGCTCGTATGGCTTGGATTTTTCTAAATGTAATTATTCCTTGCCCTTTAGCGGCATGTATTGCATAATAATTATTTAAGAAAAGTTCCTTAATGAAATTTACTTCACTTTTATGTTGTAAATCTAAGAAGTGGCCACAGTGGTTCTATTTTGAACACATACGATAAGGGTTCGATTACTCAAGTAGAAAAACAGGACGAAAACATACATAAACGTTTTATTTACATGAAGTAGAACATTGATTTAAAATACAACTACATGTCCGACATTGAGTAGAAGTAATCTTGAGATGTATTTAGGAATAAAATACTGGAGCACATCGACTGATATTTACAGATAGATCCGAAACAATGAGGTTCAACAACTAAATAAAGCAGTACACTTTTCACATCAATTTCACACAAATTTCACACAAATTTCACTCACATTTCACCCCAATTTCACACCAATTTCACACCGATGTCACATACATTCCACACTAATTTCACACCAATTTCACACACCAATGTCACAATAATGTTACACCAATATCACACTATTTCTCACCATTTTCACACCAATTTCACACCTATTTCACACTTATTTTACGCTAACCTTTAGTGTTGTCTCACAAGTCATCGAAATCGTGCAAAACCAAATGGAATTAATCGCTCACTATTCGCTTCTTTTGATCAGACATTACTGTCACACACAAATCATTTTAAAAGTACCATCTGCCTACAAAAGTCATTCCTTTTTAATGAGCCTAACCGTGAGACGTTTTTCACTTTTATACCATCTCAGGCAAAGCTCCACGATTTAATGAGTGCTGCTATTCTATTGGTTCTTATCCAGTTTGGGGTAAGCTACAATTTCTGGGATGATAAAGACACTATAGAAGCTGCTCCCTTGTGGCCCCACAGAAAGGGTAAGGATATCATATGGATATCTTAAGGATATCTTTTGGGCATGCCAGAAATGTCCTTCCAGGCCAGTGATAATGCACACCATTGTGACAAAGACATTTTTTAAAGAAACGTGAGTTTTTACAGGCCTTAGCTGTTTGGCCAACATTCGTATTCGATAGGAATATGGTTTAAGTTTGTTTTGTTCCAACATGCTCTGTTTACAGCGTCATTGTTCCCAGAAAAATGCGCAAACGATAAAAAATGTGCCTCAGAAAAACGCGCAAACAGAAAAAATGCAAACATACAACCTAATTATAGTAATAACCTTTGTTTTGTGATATTTCCTGGAAAAATGATTTATTATGCTACAATGTACACAAAGTAATTCTTTGTTAGCCTCTATAAATGCTCAATTTCAGAAAATATAAAATATGCTATTGCGCACTTTTTTGTGCGCCTTTTTTCCGTTACGCAGTTTTCCGTTGCGCATCTTTCCAGTCGCCGGTCTGGCAAATGACCACTTGCAGGTGTTAACCTTTCGGGATTTCGTCAAAGATTGAGACGCCAGAGAAAAATTGGCTTGACGTTCCCTTTAACGAGCGAGGAAAGAGATTTGTTTTCCACCATTTTTGTGAGCAAGGCGCCCCAGAAAAAGACAATAGTAAGATTTAAGACTGAAATTTCAAATAAAGATGTATTAAGATACTGAATACATGATCTCAAAAGAGACCTAGAGTGTTTTGTGAAATTTTAGCATTTTAAATAAAAAATTCCGGAATTTAAAAAAAACATAACTGTCTTGCGTTTCGGGTTGTTCAAATTCAATATGCGATTGTTTATAATTTATATAGCTGAGCAAAATTTAAACGTGGTTGTTGTCTACATAACATAGTAAAAAGAAAACCGGAAATATATGTTGATTAACCGATAATACATAAGGGAGTATTATTTTTTTTCATACAACAATTAGAAAAAGAACAAAATACATCGAGAAAAAAATTGTTGTTTGAAAATATTTTAATTACTTATTAACATCATTATAATTACATGTGCAGGCTGGTTCAAATTTTACTAGATGTCTAAGCCCATGGTTTAAATGACATGTCCTTTTCAGCAAAGTTTTAGACGGAATCAGCTATCTCGAATATGATGGAGACGTAGCTAAACAAAAGTTGGAGGATAGAAAAGATGGCACGTTAGTTTAATTTTCATTAATATGAAGCAAAATTTAGCTAATTTATCATATTTATGTTACTGGGTAGAGACGGTGTGGTCGAATGGTACCAGGAATGTCTCGAGTTTGGATCTCGGCTCGTCCTTGTGACTGTAGGACGTCCCTGAGTTCACCCCAGCTATGATGGATACCTGACTTACGTTGGGGAAAGTAAAGACGGCTGGGACCACGCTATCTCTTCATATGCCTAAGTCAAGAAACATCTGTAATCCACTTCATCTGCTCAATGGATCGCTAGGTCTGAAGAACTTAACTATTGTTACTTGGTAATACTCGCACTTGAGCTAATTATTGGATATATTAACATTTTTGTCAAGTTTTCTAAACCGTAGCCCATATGCCTACCTCGCTTAGACGAGGATTCGAGCCATATTTAATTCAACTTCCGTGTTCTATTATATAATACATTTTATGTATTGGGAACGGTGTGGCCGAATCTTAGAACACAATGACTAGCCTCTACCCAGTTCTAATGGGTACCGGACTCAATTAAGATTCTTACCTCCTAAATGCAGAGGCGTAGCGAGGGGGGGGGAGGCGCCGACCTTACGGGGCGCCAAAATGGGTTAGAAAAACAAATTGAAAGTTTGAGAGGGGGGGTGCAAATCGAAAGTTTGCCTAAATAGGTTGCTGTCCCCAGTCATGGAGCCTCGACTGCCCGGGGGTTGGGGTCGAAGTTTCGGTGACTTTTTGATTGAGCAATCATGAGCTTCACTAGAGAGACCAGGAAAAACACCCCTACCCCAACCCAATAGAATCGAAACAGTACTAGCTAAAGAGATTGTAAAGTGATGGAACAGAACGTACTGAACAAACTCGTCTTTTTCTACAACATTGTTGTCGTTGCTGTCACTCAGGGCGAAGAACATGTCGTAATCGTGATGGTTGACGACGTCATCGTTGTTGACGTCATAGGCTGCGAACAAGGCGTGGAGGACGTGGTTGGTGTGGGGGTCGTGGCCGTGGACGTTGATGCTCTCGCTGTACTCGTGGAAGGAGACGGAGCCGTCGTGATTGTGGTCAATGTCCTGAGGACACGAATGTATACATTAGGTCAATGCCTCGAGGGAAGGAATGTACACATTAGGTTAATGCCCTGAGGAAAGGAATGTATACATTAGGTCAATCTCCCGAGGAAAGGAATGTATACATTAGGTCAATCTCCTGAGGAAAGGAATGTATACATTAGGTCAATCTCCTGAGGAAAGGAATGTATACATTAGGACAATGCCCCGAGGGAAGGAATGTACGCATTAGGTCAATGCCCCGAGGAAAGGAATGTATACATTGGGTAACACATTAGGGCAATGTCCTGAGGAAATGAATGTACACAGTTGGTAACACAGTGGTGATTAAAAGGTGTGGTTGCATCTCTATGATTCACAAGAGGTCCACGTGAATGATGATGAGTTATGATGAAGATGGTGATGAATATAATGAAGTTAAATAGAATTTAGGAACCTATAGTGCAATAACCAACACAAACCATATTTAAATTAAAGTAACAATCCAATTATAGTTACATTTCTCTCAAAATGATGATAAAATTAATAAATCATTTGTTTAATGTATTTCAAAATTAAAAAAAATTACCCTGAAAATGTGGTCTAGTTCGTTTCTGTCGAAGACGCCATCATGGTTGAAATCAACATGGCTGAATCCTGTTGCGGCTGTTTGGTTGTAAGGGTAAAGGTGGAATTGCTGCGCCAATGTCAAGGCTGGTAGACAGACCAGGAGTGCGTATAGGATGGACATGTTTGAGTCTTGACTAAGTCAAATCTGTGGATATAGTTAGGGAAATCATGAAATTACATGTTCCTTTGTGGCCCCTGGGGAGCAAAGAGCTGCAACAACACCTCTCTACCTGACTCAGTTTTGGGCAGCTCTCTTTATCGACGTGAGCCCAGCTTATTTTGCTTCTTTTTTACAAGCTTTTATTTAACTCACTTCTTCTGTCTGTCGTCTGTTGTCAGTTATTCTTTATCGAAACGCGCAAGCAAAATTTTGGACACTTCTGACAAATTTTTTTCGACGTTGGCAAGTGGGTCAAGACATGACGACAATGCAACATGACAATAAATTTGACTAAATTGGTTGCATAATTAATTTTTTATGAATTAATTAAAATGTTGTCCAAATTAGTAGGGTGTCTCATCAAACTATTCCGTGCGATTAGACACGCATCATTACGTTCAATAGGTGCGCAATGGTTTATAGCCATGCAACTCTAGTGTAAATAAAACATGTAAAGTACTAAAAAAAATTCATAAAAAACATTTTAATAACAAGCTTTTATGTAATAATGCTCTAAAAAGTAGAAAATAAATTATACACTACTATTTAAATAACTATAAAGAAAAGCGTGGGTCTCTTCCTAAATATTAGTTAAGGTATTCAATAAATACTAAAGTGACCCACGCTTTTCTTTATAGTCATTTAAATAGTAGTGTATAATTTATTTTCTACTTTATAGTGCATTATTACATTAAAGCTTGTTATTAAAACGTTTTTATGAAAAAAAATTTCTACCGTTCTTCTCAATGAACTCCTAGGTCGGCCACTTTCTTCCTTGTTATGATGCATGTTTTATGAATATAAATTGATGCGAATGAATGTTGGTGCGGGTGTGTAATAAACGAATAAAACTGTGATGCATATAAAAAGATAGTGACGTAGAATTTAGAAAACGGTGTTGCTTTAGAATGCAAGTTATGGAGTCAGAGACTGGGTATTGAATAGGTAGCTGTATATGCATTAAGCATTGTGTCAGATGATATCGCTTGTATCGTTGTGATGCGGCTGACCAATGAAATGGTATTCTTAAAATGGCAGTGAATTGCTTCAGGTTAAGCTCAACCCTCTCACAGCAACCTTAACACTCTAGCCCCGTGGATTTCAGTCCAAAGCTTTCCTCGCGATATTATCTTATATCATATGTGACACAACATATTTTACTTTTACAGCTTAACATACATTCACGTAACAGGTCTAGATAAATTATTCTTAACCTTTTTGGAGGCAGCGAACCCCACTAGTTTCATTTGGGCATTCTCAATAGTTCTATATACCGTATTGACAAAATTTGATCGTAAACTAAACCTTTGTAATAACCAGATTTTAGGTACATTAAAAATAATAAAATAAATATATTTTTTCTTTTATTTTGTTTACTAAAAGCTCTTGAAACGTTTTCAATACGTGTTCTACATACCATTTTACTATTTCTATTCATATACATCTGGGATAGCAGCCTATATGTGCAAAAAGCTATTTTATAAATGTGGGCTAATTCGTAATAATACATAATTATCGTTTTCTGGTCTATATGCTTTTGTATACATTTTAGAGCGAAATATAAAGTAAAGAAAAAAAATGGATTCCTCTGTTATTTTTAAAAAATATAGAGAAGTTTACATAAAACGTCTCATTTTTTTCGAGAAATTTAAATAGATCTCCTTTGTATTTAATTAGGGTATAATTAATTACTCGTATCGAGGAAAAGGCATTGGACTGTATTTATTTTTAAACCAAACTTTTTTGATTGCTTTAAACCAAATCGAATATTAAATTTGATTTAAAAAAAAACGCTAGAATATGAGAAACATCTGTGTTGACGTTAAATAACTAAATATACATACAGGTAGAAGTTTGACTTTCGAAGCATGGTATTAAAAAAGTTTAAATACATAAACGTTTCAATTATTGAAAACTAAAATACACGTATAAAAATGTAAAAATAAAAATAATGCCTACAAATTAAAAACAATAAAAACATTAAAAATGTTTTGAATTTATTTTTGTTTTATTTTGCAAAATTGCGCACACCATAATATACATTTTCGATATTTAGTTTTGGCTTATTAATTAACAAGACTTGTATTGAATTATTACATACATTGCATCAATCTTCTTTTGTTTATGTTAAATTATCGTTGTGAATTGTTGGTTTTTTTTTTATCTTATCCTAGGTATAGTAGACTTATGAGAACTGAACATCAACATTTACTTACTCGTCACAGCAGAGATGAAAGGTACTAACTCTCCTCTGTTCTAATGTTACACTTTTTATCTCAATTCTCCGGCGGAAGCAAGCGGTTATACGCCAGAGAAACAAACAGATGGTCAATTTTAAAAACATTTTCCAGCTCCATAAAAAGTAACAACTGCTGATTGCTTATGTAACGTAACCTGTTTTGATTAATCTCTGATGGACTAATTAAACCTTTTATTGAAATGTACTTTTTAGATGCGTATGTACTTGAAAAAGAAAATAGTATTGGGGTTATGTAGTTTTAATTATACCTATTTCCATCAGATTTTAAAAAAAAATTAAAACTATATACATTTAATAATAGTAAAATTATTTCAAGAGAATAGTGTAATTGTGAAGACATAGTTTTATGTCTTGGCGGGAATCGAGAGACCAACATATTGCTAGATCCCTCAATCATAGTGAGCAGAGGCGTAGCGAGGGGGGGGGGGGGGCGGGTGGGGCGGACTGCACCGGGTGACACCAATTAAGGGGGGGGGGGGTGACACCAAGGCAAAAAATAGCAAAATATATATAGAGAAAAATTTGAGGGGGATGCAAATCGAAAGTTTGAGGGGGGGGGGGGGGTGTGCAAATCGAAAGTTTGTGGGGGTGGGTGCAAAAAAGTTTGTCCCCGGGAAGGGTCGCTACACCTCTGAAGGGGTGACACCATTATGTCCCGCACCGGGTTACACCCGACCTCGCTACGCCACTGATAGTGCGACGTGCTACCACTTTGACCAGAAGACTCGGCTCAGCCTGTATGGCACCCAGTGCTCAAAGACTTGGTTAGGTGACCTCTGACCCAGATACAAGAGACAACATGACCTGTTAAACACAACAATACATCTATTCGATGTGCTTACGTATGAAACACTTCTAGTTCAAATACAAACATGACAAAGCTTTCTGAAATAAATTATAGGAACATGATGCAAGATAAGGAAACAGGCTATGAGACTGTAATAGTAACTAGTAAAACACTTTATTTACATTTTTTATTATTTATTTATTTATTATTTATTATTTATTTTACAACGCCCTAGAACAGCAAGGTACGGATAAATGGTTATTGTGAAGATAGGACAGTTTCTATCATTGTGTTTATTCTTTATTCCGGCAACTCTTCGGGGGGGGGGGGGGGGGAGGGGGTTAATAACACCTCCCCCCTTCCCCCGAACACATCCACCTTTCCCCGTACAAAATAAAGTACAAAAGGTAAAATATAAAATACGGGAAGTTTCATGTGCCCCCCCCCCCCCAACTCACCACACAAGTAAGATTCAAGTCGTTTTGTCTACCCCCCCTCCGGAGAAAAACATCTAAGGGAAACATTACTGTCTAGCTTGGAGAGAAACAACTACTAAAACACATCAGCATACGACGCCTATTTGCCCTGCCTTCTCCACTGAGAAGTTTAATCTGTTTACCAAAATGCAAGATCAATAAATATTTTATTTCCACAAATTTCGCCGGGAACTTCGGCTGCATGGAGAGGGGACCTGATACATGGACAACATCTTCACAATGTACTGTCCAGGTCTTACATCTTGATTTCAATGGGCAATTAATCAATAGACTATCAGATTTCGGAGTCTTCATTTCCTGGTATAAATTATTTTTAAAATGTTTGCATGATTTGTATATTTGAAATAACAAAATCTGGGCATATAATTGATGTAAAACATTCCCTGGCAGCAAATTCTATATACAATGTTAGAATGTTTTGTCGTCAGAGTTTCTTCCAGGCATCGCTTTGGCCCACCCCCTCCACACCCCGATAAAAAAGAGATCTACCCCCCCCCCCCCCGATCGAAATGGATTTTATATATTTAAAATATATTCTTTTCACAGAGTCCGCACCCCCCCTGGAAATTTTAGTCCGCCCCCACCCTCGAAAATTTCAAGCCCCCCCCCCCCCCCCCCGCCCAGGAGAAAAATGATTGGAAGAAACACTGTTTGTCGTGATAGTGTAATCTGGCAGTGTATATCAAGTTGCAGGAAATACACTGAGTAATTCTCCTTGACTGAAGTTTTATTTCCAATTCTATTTAATGAACATGTGCATCAATAGCTCCGAGTGAAGAAAAGTGTAATCAATAGTGTATAAAGTTAACCACACAACTCCTATGAAAGGATCTCTGAGGTATGTTACGGTATTTTACTTTTTTTTACATTATACTTATACAAAGTCGTACATATTGCCCATAAATATATGAAAAAGTAATTATGGATAAAGTCTTTACATAAATAGAACAAAAGCGAATTTTTAAAAATGTCACTCATTACAACAACAAATAATCGGTAGGGCCTATATAACTATCTGACCACATTAAAACAAACCAAATTGGTCAAGATTGTCTTTTACAAAACTATGCTGTTGTGGAACGGTTTCCGCTTTCATTTAGAAGACAAACAAAATCGCGAATTTATTATGTAAAAAGAGGTATGTGTGGGGTTCACTTTTCTCATATATTTTCTTGAAATCGAAAGAAATTGAAGTAAGGGAAATAACTGTTAAATTTGGATCAACATATTAAGATTAGTATCCCCTGCTACGGATCATTGCACTATTGTCAAAAGCCCTATTGTAAGTAGGCCTAACTATATTTTCGGGAGTCGTTTTGTTCAATGCATTATTGAAACGTATCATTCTGTAGCATATCATAATCGGGGTAGTAAATGTAACAGGAGACAGATTTAGTTGACGATTATTTTAACATTATCTCAAGCCATGGCCCTT